CAGAGACATGTCAAGGTGGACGCGGAGTAAGTATTACAAATTCCTCACGACAATCACGCATCAACGCGTCCACGACCAGTCACAAGGATGGGCAGATTGGGGCTCGTTAGGGATGTAAACACAGAGCTTCCTAGTCGAGGTTTCAAGAGATTTAGCGAGGATTTACCTGAAGCATCCGCTGGCAATAGTTCCAAAATTAACAGAATAAAGAGCAGATGTACGACTGCCGCCATGAGTGCACACACATTTAGGAAGATTATATTTTCTTCCGACAACACAAAAACACGAAACTGAGAACACCGCACTTAGAGCTTGCACTTCATGTTTGGAGAACGACTCCGGGTTGTGCAGCACGCTGGATAGGAGCGCGCGACAATGGGGAAAACACAAAAGAAAACCGATTCAAAACACACAAAAATCCGGAATATCACTCGCGAAAACCATTCCCGAGCTCACCTCGCAACTGGCGAAAACGCGCAATCAAACTCGCGATTCGTGAAGCCACTAGATTCACTTGACGCGACGCGAAACGCGGAACCCATCGGGTTCGGCAAACACTGTAGCGCGAAAGGGAATTAATTTCGTTTTTCTTTTTAATTTGTAATTTTGAAATCGTTCAAAGTTACGATCACAACTAAACTGACATACTTGATAATTGGAGGAGCGAGCGAAACGGGTGTTGCAGCTGCGAAAGGAAGCTTTCAACTGAATTGGCACCGGATTGGTAGATAATCCGCTTGGAGCAGCACCTACCAGCGGGCGCAGTGAGGAAGGTCAGGTCATGATCCTGTTGAGAGTGTCCCCTCCTTCTCCTTCCTAACCCAAACCGTTGCCCCCTTCGCAATGGAGCTCTTGCATGTGTCTGATTCCTGTTCCTGTGTATAATTTCGCGAGAAACACGTTGATGTATTCTCTGAAACAAACTCCGAATTTCAAAAAATCTCTCACGAGGTTGTAATGGAATGGAGGGGATACCTCACGCTGTTTTAAACCTCCACCTCTGCATCAAGTCAAACTCTTCATGCAAAGATAGGGAGCATATTCAAAATTTTCGGGGGGGGGGGGGGGGGGATTGCTTGTTGTCGGATGATTTCTGGTATTGCCTCCTGAATGCGGCGAGGGGGACGGGCGGCCGCATCCCCAAGATTTTCGAAGGTTTTTTCCTTTTTAAATAGAGAAATGTATTTCACCGTGAGAAAAAACCAAAAATTGCCTTTTGGGAGGACGTAATTTTCAAAAATTTTCTGGCGGAAGACCCGAGGACCTCCCCCGATATTCCTCAGATAACAAGAGGAATCCTA